CTTGAAAACTTGCATCACACAAAACTCAACAAAGTCTTCATGAGATCCATTAGTATAAGAATAATAAACGACTACTATAAGTGCTGTATCAAACCAATTTATATTTTGTTTTTGTATTATATCTACTGTATTCCAACTTTTCTATGGCAAAAACTCATCAAAGAAAACGATAAAGCCATCAAAATAAGCACACAACACAAAGAAAACAGAATCTGTCAAAACAGAACAGTCTGTAGAAATCTGACTATTTCGAATACTTATCTAACTCAAAAAACTCTAAAAAATTAGGACGACTTGAGAAATTTGTATATTGATCTACTGCAATTAGAATGGGTATTTTATCGTTCTCTGGTAAAAAATGAAAATTAATTTCGTGAGCGCAAACTTTCTGTTTCTTTCAGCAAGATCAAACAACTATTGTCCAAGAAGATCCTAAAGGCTATACTTGGCACGAACACTAACTAAAACATAAAAAAACACAATCATAACAGTAGTATAATTGTGTAAACACACAAGAAAAGGAAGAAAAAAGCAAAAATAAATTTATTCATTGGGTTGCCTCCCAACAAGCGCTATAGTTTTACGCCCTTAGCTAGGCATAAAGCAAGGATCTAAGTTTTGTCTTCCGAAGTTTTGACAACTTTTGTAAGGGTTTTCTCAAACCCGGGAGGCTCATTACGCTTCGCCAAATTCTCCAGAAAAGAAACCATCTCAAAATATCCAGTTGCAAAGATTAATCAGAGTATTCATGCGATTGATACTACCATTGAGGTGTTTGAGGGGTTCATTATATTTCTGTATTTCAACCATATGTTTATGCAAATCACCAAGTTTGTCCAGCATTTGGGCTCCCTCGGGGTTAAAATGAAACCCCTTCTTTTGAGGTGGAATTCCCAGGATTCCCTCTAAGAGTTCATAGGCAGCATTGGCATCAAGTACAATAAAATTTCCTTTAGCGGCGAAATCAAGAAGTTGTCTATGGTGCAAAGCCAATCCTATGTAAAAATTACGAAGCAAAACTTTGGCGTCCCCCTTTAAGTTGGAAATACGATACAATTCCATAAGCCTATACCAGGCATCTTTCAAATTTTCTCCTTCTCTTTGCTTGAAGTACAAAATTCAAAATCTAGTGACAAAGGAGGAGTAGAGACGCTAGCCATCGAGACTAGAAAGCAAGAGAACGGCAAACGAAAAAAAGAGAGGTGAATAAAACGGCAAATTTTGGTGAAGTGGGGGAGAGGAAAATGAGAGGCAAATGGAAAATAATGTAAATTGCGAGGAGATGAGATTTGTGATTATGAACCTGGTTATGATGAAGATCCTCCCCGGCAACGACGCCAGAAATTCTCCTTGATGGCAGCTGGAACTACGTCGGTATTTCCCCGGAGAGGGAGGGATGGTGCAGCATAGCGGCAGTAGGTATTTCCCTCAGTTATGAAACCAAGATTATCGAACCAGTAGGAGAACCAAGCAACACAACGTAAACAGCCCCTGCACACAAATAACAATATCTCGCAACCCGACGTGTTAAAGGGGTTGTCAATCCCTTTCGGGTAATGGCGCCAGAAATTGGTGCGTGACGGTAAAAAGGTTGTAATAGATTGGATAAATAGATCACAAATAAAATGAAGTGCAACAATGTATTTTTGTATTTTTGGTTTAATAGATCTAAAAATAAAAGTAAGGAAAAAGTAGATTGCAAAGGCAAATATATGAGAAATAAGACCCGGGGGTTGTAGGTTTCACTAGTGGCTTCTCTCAAGAAAAATAGCAAACGGTGGGTAAAAAAATTACTTTTGGGCAATTGATAGAACTTCAAATAATTATGACAATATACAGGCAATGATCATTACATAGGCATCACGTCTAAGATTAGTAGACCGACTCCTACCTGCATCTACTACTATTACTCCACACGTCAACCGCTATCCAGCATGGATCTTGTGTATTAAGTTCATGGAAAAACGGAGTAATGCAATAAGAACGATGACATGATGTAGATAAGATCCGTTTATCTATATGGCGATAGATATAGATCTCGTCTTTTTTATCCTTAGTAGCAATGATACATACGTGCCGGTTCCCTTTCTGTCACTAGGATCAAGCACCGTAAGATCGAACCCACTACCGGGCACGTCTTCCCATTGCAAGATAAATAGATTGAGTTGGCCAGACAAAACCCAAATATCGGAGAAGAAATACGAGGCTATAAGAGATCATGCATAAAAGATATCAAAGAAACTCAAATACTTTCATGGATATAAAAACATAGATTTGATCATAAACTCGAAGTTCATCGATCCCAACAAACACACCGCAAAAGAGTTACATCATATGGATCTCCAAGAGACCATTGTATTGAGGATCAAGAGAGAGAGAGATGAAGCCATCTAGCTACTAACTACGGACCCGAAGGTCTACAAAGAACTACTCACGCATCATCGGAGAGGCACCAATGGAAGTGGTGAACCCCTCCGTGATGGTGTCTAGATTGTATCTGGTGTTTCTGGACTCTACGGCGGCTGGATGAATATTTCGTTGACTCCCCTAGGGTTCTGAGATTTTTGGGGTATTTATAGAGCAAATAGGCGGTCTGGGGGTACCCGAGGTGTGCACAACCCTCCTGGCGCGCCCTGGTGGGTTGTCCCCTCCTCGGGACTCCCCCCAGGTGCAACCAGGGCCCATCTGCTTCCTTTTGGCCCATAAAAAATCATCGTAAAGTTTCATGCCATTTGGATTCCGTTTGATATTGATTTCCTGCGATGCAAAATCATGGAAAAAACAAGAACTGGCACTGAGCACTATGTCAATAGGTTAGTACCAAAAATGATATAAAATGACTATAAAATGATTATAAAACATCCAAGATTGATAATAAAATAGCATGGAACAATCAAAAATTATAAATACGTTGGAGACGTATCACGCGCCTGACACGGACCTCGAGAGTTTGGACTTAGGGTCCGGCGGAGTGTCCGGTGCTTTTCCGGTAGCAAGATCCATTAGTGCAGAGAGTCCGGCGGGCTCCAGACTCCCGTCTTCGGACCTGACGGCCTGCTCTGGATCTAAGGCCAGAGCGGTGATCGGGGCCGCGAACCCTTCGAAGATCAAATCTCCTCGGATATCGTTGACATAGTTTAGGTTCCTGAAACTGAGTTGATGACCCGGGGCCTAGCTGTCGATCTGCTCACGGTGGCCAATCGAGTTGGCACGCAGCGCGAAGCCGCCAAATACAAAAGTTTGGTCCGGGGGGGGGGTCTCCTTCGAAACAGCATCATTGTGGATGATCGAACGAGCCATCGAATCCTTTATCGACATCACAGAGGAACTCTCAATGAAAGCACCAATGTCGGTGTCAAAACCGGTAGATCTCAGGTAGGGGGTCCCGAAATGTGCGTCTAGGGATCGAAGGTAACAGGAGGCAGGGGACACGATGTTTTACCTAGGTTCGGGCCCTCTTAATGGAGGTAATACCCTACTTCCTACTTGATTAACTTTGATGGGTATAGGGGTTACAAGAGTTGATCTACCACGATATCGTAATGACTAAACCCTAGATGTCTAGCCTGTATGATTATAATCGTCTCTATGGACTAAATCCTTCGGTTTATATAGACACCGGAGGGGCTAGGATCGTATAGAGTCGGTTTACAGAGAAAGGAATCTTCATATCCGAACCCCAAGCTTGCATTCCACGTCAAGGAGAGTTCCATCCGGACACGGGGGGAAACCTTCTATCTTGAATTTTCATGGCCCACCAGTCCGGTACACGTCACATAGCCCGGACACCCGGGGACCCCCTAATTCAGGACTCCCTCACACACCATTTGCTTTTACAGGAACAGAGACATCCCTATGTTCGACAATGTTCTTTTGACGTTGTCTTAGTACCTAGATTTGCTCTTGACATCATCATCGTGGGCTGCTGAAAGATTTAGATACAAAGAAATGCAAAAATCTTCAACAATGGTACACCCAGTGTCACTGCTTGGAGGCAATTACTAAAATAAAATGATTTGTTCCTCCGCTCCCATAGAATCAAAAGCAAGTATGTGATAAAATTCAAGAAGTAGGTTAATCTTCATCTTATCTACTCCATCCGATCCAAAGTTAATTGTCACTGGTTTAGTTACCAATCCAACTTTCCTGATATCGTGAAAGAATTTTTTAAGCGCATCATCTAGATATTGATAGTTTTGTAATAGATGTTAAGATCGAACATCAGTTTGTTACATGCAAATGTCCTTAATCTTTCTATTTGTTATCAATTTGCATTGCAAAATTGGACTTCAATTATTCAATAATTGTGTTAGTGTTATATTGTTTGTACATGTGAAATTTAACATGTAACTCTTGCAAACTATTTCAAGAGCCCGTGGCAACGCACGGGCACTCTACTAGTTAATATGGATGGGCAACTAAACCAGCGAAAAATTGTATGTCTCGGAGGGATTAGTTTTTTGTTTGAACCAAGATGGAGTTCCCAAAAAATGAAATTAGTTGAGCCTAAGGTTTTATTTTGTATATGTGTATATATTACTTTTAATATAAATGAAAATACCGGGTTCAGGGTTAAAAAAAGTTATGTTTAAGTTTTTAAATGAGAAATTCTGTTTAAGTAAACAGTGCGACAAATCGGAATCCCGAGTTCAGAATTGGACCTGGCTGATTGCCCGCCGTGGCCTAGCCCAGCCCACACAAGACAGCAATCCACGTCTCCTTCGTCCTCCTCGCACTCGCAGGACGCAGCGGACAAAGGCTCAAACTTTTCCCCAAACCGAAACCCTCGCCTCCACCACCGACGTCTGACCATGCCGCCGCCACCGCCGAGGCCAGCACCAACCCTGCCGGACGAGCTGCTAGAGGAGGTCTTGCTCCGCCTTCCCCCGGGCGAGCCGGCGTGCCTCGTGCGCACATCCCTCGCCAGCAAGCACTGGCTCAGTCTCCTCTCCGGCCCACGCTTCCGCGGTCGCTACCACGAGCACCATCGAGCTCCCCCCATGCTGGGATTCCTTCATACCTGGCCGGACGGCTGCGGCCCGGAGGAAAAGGATCCAATCCCGCACTACAAGCCGACCACAAAATTTGGTGCACGCTTTCCCGACGAAGACGACTTGGGGTACTACAAGTACGATGCGCGGGACTGCCGCCATGGCCGCGTTCTCCTCGGGGTTGAGAATACAAAACCCATGGCGCTCTTCGTTTGGGACCTAATCACAGGCTGCCTGAGCGAGCTGTCCGCACCCGACCTGGGGGTGGACAACTACTATGGGGCTGCGGTGCTCTGCGCCGTATCCGGCTGTGACCATCGTATTTGTCATGCGGATCCCTTCCAGGTGGTCTTTGTCGGCCTAGACAGGAAAGCAGTTGGCGACGATGATGATTGTGTTGCACGTGCCTGTGTGTCCTTGCCCTTCCCTCCATTCGATGAGTGGGACAAGCCATGCCCTGCTCTTCATCTTCCAGGCAGTGCATTCATCCAGCCAATGCCTTCTGTCCTCATCCAAGATGCACTACACTTCATGCTTGAGTATGCTGATGATGCTGATAGTGTAGAAATTCTCAAGTATGACTTGAGCTCTCATAGCTTATCACTGATTGATGCACCCATTGAGAATTCTAACATTGCCAATGCCTCTATCCTCATGGCGATGGAGGATAGCAGTTTGGGATTTGCACATGTCAATGAATCAACCCTCTACCTGTGGTCAAGACTCATGGATTCCAACGGAGTTGCTTCATGGAGTCAACGTATAATTATCAATCTCAGGAACCTTCTCCCCATCGAAAATCCCGAGGAAAGCCTTAGACTGGTTGGATCCGTGGAGGGCCGTGATGTCGTTTTCGTGGCCACGGACCTGGGTATCTATGAGATTAATGTCAAGTCGCAGCGATGGAAGAAGATATGGAAGAGAGAAAATTTCCATGCTTTGATTCCATACATGAGTTTCTACAATCAACAAGGTATACTTGTATTTATATATGTCATTTATTGTGATTTGGCAACACCTGTTAAGTTGTACTCCATATAAGTTAGTGGAACAAACAAAACGATGAATCTCTAATCAGATATATAGTTTCATTTCAAATGTTCCCGAGCAAACTTCGGGTGATATGTAATTACAACTAATTATGCTAATTTAATTGTCTATTTATATCGTATCATGTCATCCCCTTTTTGGAATCACACTGGAAAATCTATGTTTGCAGAAAGGGTGATGCCCAGTGACGTGGCGCATTGACATTGTATGGTTGAATGTGCTTAAGGGCAGGATGCCACTCTCATCAACAAGAAAGATGACAAGCTTAAGCGGCAGGTGTCCTGTGGTGAATTATATCACTATATAGTAGCCCTTTTGGTGCAGTGGTGCTTGCTTGATTTCTCATAGTGTTCTTAGCTTTTTTCAATAAGTTTATAGTTTCACCTTCAGTTCTTGCAGCTGCAGTAGGAACCATGTGCCTTGTTTGTTAGTTAATCTTGTCCATCCTTCATGGAAGAAACAAATTGCCTTTCGAGTTGGCTGCTTTTCTGCATTCACCCGTCTCTCATATTTGGATCTTATATTAGTGCATTCACCCGGCCTATGTTTTTAAGGCGACGCTTCGCTTTAAGGCGCTGGCGGG